TTTTTTTGATTGCTAATTTACATAAACAACAACCTGCAGCACTCGTTGACGACAAGTTATGGGATCACATTTGCAATGCTCTCCACACTCAACTACTACGTCACAACTAGAGTTTGCCGAGTTGAGTTTCCGGATGGCCTTTGGTTTTGTTCCACTTTTGTAACTTTGTGCAACATGATGCTAAAGGAAAAGTAAGAAAAATAGTTTTCATGATACCGAGGCACAGCAATTAATTGCACCCTTGCATTCGCAAGCTTTGTTGCAGGTTTTTCGTTTTTTTAAAATTTTTGTCTATTAAAGTTTTTCTTGCATGTAAAAATAGAAATTCTGACAACTGAAAAATGCGCCTGACTGGAAAAAAGATATTACACTTCGAAATTTGCTAAACTTGAAGCTACAAGACCCTTGTGCATGACGTGTTCTTTTAAAGTGCATTCTATTCGATACTCATCCCCTTTTGCACCCCAACTTTGAGCTCAAATATCTTAATGTTGGACTAGCCAATTTAAATATTCTGAATATCATCGGATGCACATATTCCCCAAATCGTTTCCCTTACTTAAGAGATTTTCAAAAAATAAACCCATTTGATCGTTTAAACTCATTTTTAGGGCAAAATCACCCACAAGGGCTATATATTGACCCCCTTTTTGCCCATCTCAGATAAATAGAAAACTGAAATGAAGGGGGAAATGAGACCGGAGAATGAATGCAAAAGGAGCTGGGAAGACATTCAGATAGGAGCGTCGCAGCCTCTCCCCTCGATCGATCCCCGGACCACCTCTCAGCCTTTTTTCACTGTAGAACATTAGCTCACTACAGTATACCGGTTTAAGTATTCAGCCGACAGCATTCAATTTACAATTACAAAGCCCATTCCTCTTGTCAGTCTTTAAAGAAACAGGAGAAAGCAAAAATTTGAGTTCAAGTTTCAATTTTATCGGCATCAAAGTTTCCATTTCATAAAAATGTACTTGATTTTTATATGATTGTTCAGGAGCTTAATACTTTGAAGTTGCAAATTTTGAAATTGACCACTTCGAACTTGTTAGACTGCAGCTTGTCTCACCACAGTACCCACTGTAGCTAATGAAATTCGCTTATAGAAAACTATAACCTGCTTAGTAAACTGTAATATAAAAAGATAGAGAAATTTTCGGTCAAAGTTCACCTACTTATCTCAAAGGGTCAATCCATTTAAAATCCTATGACTCAAGCTGTAAGAGTTTAATTGACTTCTGCTTCCAACATTGGAATTTACGTTAAATTTCAGTAAAGAAATGTGTAATTTGTTTTATCGACTTACGAATAAAATTATGGAGAAAATTAAGGTCAAAGTGAGATAAGTGCCTACCCTTCCCTAGATATTTGTCTAGGGGCGAGTAGAGAGTCTGAGTTGGACTACTCTTCTCATTTGTCTCATGTCTCAAAATCCTCAACATCTTTATAAAATCGTCGAAATTATGAACAACTCGCGCATGCCCGAGTCTTGCCCCCAAGATCTTGCCCCAAGATGCCATGATCTTGCCCCCAAGATCATCTTGCCCCCAAGATGATCTTGCCCCCAAGATGATCTTGCCCCCAAGATGATCTTGCCCCCAAGATCATCTTGCCCCCAACAGTAATCAAAGCTTTTCAGGCCCGAAAGCCGAAAGCGAGAACCCGGGGGCGGGTTTTTGGAGAATCAAAAACTGGGGGGGCGGGTTTTTGAAGAGTGTCCGAAAACCCGGGGGCGGGTTTTTGAAGAGTGTCCGAAAACCCGGGGGTGGGTTTTTGGAGAGTCAAGCCGATTTCCTTGACTAAAATCGCATACGATATTAGTCAAGGAAATAGCCCCCCAGTTTTTGATTCTCCAAAAACCCGCCCCCGGGTTCTCGCTTTCGGCTTTCGGGCCTGAAAAGCTTTGATTACTGTAAGACTTTCAGGCCTGAAGTAAATCACTCTCTTTTACTAAAAGCTCCTTAACAACTCGCGCGCGCAAGTTGTCATAAAATAATCAAAATCCTTAACTCGCGCATGCGCAAGTTGTTCATAATTTCGAAGATTTTATGAAGAACTTGCGCATGCGCGAGTTGAACTAATTTTATCTAGGTTTTTATTGGTAAGTCTATAAAAAATAAAACATTTCTAAAGTCAAATTTTGTGTAGATTCTAATAAATGCAACCGCTATTTGATTTACTGAGTTAAATTTACTGATTTAGTAAGGCTTCGGCTTTCGGACACTGTCGCAAAGCTTAAGCATTTCGGTAAAGGCTTTGGTTTTAGGACACTGTAAGAGTTCAATCGATGTAAGAGTTCAATCGACTTCTGCTTACTATCATTGGAAAAAAATCAAGAATACCTTACTGATTGATAGTTTCTATTTTCTAGAGCTTCCAGAGCTTCTATAGCTACTAGAACCTCTAGAGCCTCTAGAGCTTTCAAAGCTTATCTAGAGCTTCCAGAGTGTTTCTATGCGCTTAGGTATCAAATTAAAGTAGAGAGAATAAGTATTTTTTGAGATATAATACATCTTTTAAGCATTAACCAGCGCTTAGAAAAAATTATTAAAAGATGATGATACTCAAGCGCCCAGAAACAGTGTTGTGTTGAGATTGATTCGCTTGAGTGTAAACTTGGACCGCGGTACCTGTGGAGTATTCGGGGTTCAATATATCATTGGAAAATATCAATACATTTCTCACAATGTTCCAAAGTAAATCTTCGTATCTGTTTGCTTCAACCGTTTCTTTTTCTGTGAAATAAAAAGCTTTCCGAGAATCAATGATTATCAAGTGAGCTTTTTCTCTCCTTTTTCTCCTTTTTCCCCTTTCTCTCCTTTTGCTCTTCTTTTTCTCTTTTCCACAAATTTTTAGCAATTGGCGGGTTTCCAGAAAAAAGAATTGAATTTGTCTTTCACATAAGCATTTATATAAATGATAACTGTTAATTTATAACTTGAAAACGTTTTCCGATCGTCAACTTGTAATAAACTTAGCTGCTTTATCGACTTTGCTAAAGAGTGACTCAGCCAGTAGATGCTACAGTAACCATAACTATAGACACTATCGTAATCCGTAACCAAGTTACCGACGTTACTGCCTTGCAGTGCCAAATATTTTCCACCGTAGTCATCGAGATTACTGTAAGCTTGACTAGCTGGTATGATATCACAGCTGGATCTGATCACATTCTCTCAATCGTGGAGATTTAGACCGGCTTACGATATTCCATCGAATTCTGTAGAGTACAGTCATTTGCTGTTAGATTTGTGTAACTGTGTATTCGGTTATCTTTGAGAAATTGAAAGTTTTATTTCACAAAAGCCATGTCTATATACAGTGTTGTGAAACAAAGAAAAGAATCGCATGGATGAATGGATTGGGGAAGGAGGGAAGGGAAGCGAAGAGAGGGAAGACGAGGGAAGATGAGGAAAAAGGAAGAGAGGGAAGAGGAGCGAAGGGAAGGGATGAGACAAGCGAGTGCCTATATAGAATTCAGAATTGGGAAACGGGGGTGAATGCGAATCAATTGGGACGTTTAGACCGGCTGAAAGGACATACAAACGAATGAAATATGATTGCATGAATATGATTGCAGACTTCTCTCCGCCCGGCCTCATCGTCTCTTTCACACAAAGCAATTTTAATAGATACATTTTTTCTTGCGAAAAACTAGTCTTCTTGCGAAAACGAGCAGTTTATAGAACAAAAAACTATGAAGAATTCGCTGTGCCAGAAGGTGTACGTTTGCAATTTTCGAAAGAGTAAAGTCGAAATCCCAAATCACCCTCACATTTGATGAATAAAACAAATAAAACATAGTAAACAAAACAAAAAACTTGCATTTAAAATCCAAAAAAATAAAAAAAATGAAAAAATTAAAAGAAAATGAAAAGAAACTCGAAAAAGAAACATATGAAATTAGAAATTTTATTAGAAATTTCTCAGCTTTTTTTTTGAACTGAGAAGAAATTTTTGTATAAAAGGAATAATTTACGAATCGAATAGTAAAATGAAATTTGAAATAGAACAGCAAATTCACGGGATAGAATGTACATGGTTTTGTTGTTCTTGCTTTTGATGATGATGAATTGATTCGAAGGGGATTTAACAAAAAAGGAATTTCGGAAATACACACACTGGGAATCGACGGACAGGCCACAAATAGCATATCATGTGTAGTTGATAGCGAAATTATAAGTATAACGAAGATTGATTGGTGATTGGATGGATTAGGTCAGCTTAGGTCAAACAGATCAGGATTACGGTAGACTAGGCTGGAGGGAGAGCCAGACTGCTGGAGCTAGACTAGGCTGCTGGAGCTAGACTAGGCTGGAGCCAGGCTAGGCTGCTGGAGCCAGACTAGGCTGCTGGAGCTAGACTAGGCTGCTGGAGCCTGACTAGGCTGGAGCTAGACTAGACTCCAATGCTTCAATGGAGCCAGACTAGCCTCCAATGCTTCAATGGAGTTAGCCTAGGATCCTAGGCTAAGCCAGGCTTCAATTAAACATCTGTTAACTTGTATGGAAATTTGAGATATCCAATGATAGATGTGAGGATGATTTTTCAATCGATCTAGAGGTGCCAATCAAATCAAATGAACCAATCAAATGAATCAAAATAATGACAAAAAGAAATGAAAAAGAAATAAAATCGTTCCTGTTGATTGTGGACCCGAGAGAGAATGGTGGGAGAAAGGGAAGAAATGGCTCAATCGGTGGGAAAACAACCCGAGTTCGGGTCCCTGAGTGAGTCTGAGTCTTTTAAACTGAATGCTGAGCCATTCCATATCCCGTTTCTTCACTTTGTCGAAATTTTCTTCGACACAAGTTGTACACATTTCAATGGGTTTCACCTTTAAAAAAGGGAAACACACCGGATTTACAAAGGGGGGTTTTTCAGTGATCAAATAGAAACGATATGAAGAAAGAAACGAAAATGGTTTACAAATATTTGAATGAAACTGGATACACATATGTACAAGTCGTTTGTTGTATATCTGAATAGCGAGTTCTTTATGAATAGTCCATATTGTGATTGGCGTGCATCGGCTGGGTGTTCCCGTAGGGGCTAAATATCGTAGAATTGAGACTTTGAAGGAAAAATTGAAATATTAGATATCCTCTAAATATCCGAAATCTTCTAAATAGCTTGACAAATGCTCCCCAAGTGCCCTGGAAACAACTTCTAAACATACTGTATAAACATACAAGAAATATTCAGCTACAGTATTTCGGACTACAGTACTCAAGGTTTACAATATCCCTAGCTATAGTATTCTTGGACTGTTGTGCTCTAGGGTTACAGTATCCTTGAGCTACAGTACTCTTGGGCTACAGTATCCTTGGACTTAAACGCTATTTACTGTATAGCCTATGTTAAGTGCCCAGCTTCAGCATAATCTAAACAAGGCTTAATCAAGATTTTCGACTTCTAGGGAGCAAAGTATCGTACATATTTCTATATTGGATACAATATATCCCATTTTCTTTTCATCATACCTGAAATTCGATGGATCCCACGAGATATCGGGCCTCATCTGACTGGCGGCAAGGTTTGGCGACGGGCTACCGGCTTGTGACATCAACGGGTCCGAGTGGAGGAGTGGATTGTTCTGTATGCAGAGCAATTTAGATATTTCATATTTAAATGAGAATCTAGATATTAGGATTAGATTTAAATAAAATGATATATTGTTTTTATCTATTATCTCAATTCTACCTCAAGACACGACTCCATGATCAAATCGGGGAATGGCCCGTGGTGCATCCCTTTGTGGCTGTCGGGGCGGTATCTGCAAATGTTAGAGCTATTGAGAAATACTATTAGAAACTAGATATTGAATACTTACTGACTATAAACTAAATAACTAATTGTAAGCTATTGAATGATTGTTACAGTATCCAGCTAATAGAAAAGGCAAGTATTTGATACAGTAATCTTCTACTGTTTTTCAATAAGCTACTGTAGCTTCTACTTTGCTTCTACTTCTACTTCTACTACTTTGCTTCTACTTCTACAATAAGCTACTGTAGCTTCTACTTTGCAACCAAATTCGACCATTTTCTGCTTCTATTTGACACTAACTTTATCTGAATACTGTAAACAATCAATAGAATATAATTAGACAAAGTTTGGTTTGATATATCTATAACTTCTCCACCTCCATTGTGGCGTCTGATAATCTTGTGGACTTGAGCGAAAGAATTGATCGGATCCATAATGGATCCGTTCTAGCGGCGAGGCGATCGCAGCCGTCGTGTCAGAGAGTTGTGACATAAAACCCGATGAGGACTAAAAGAATAGAGAATGAGAGCAAAATAAAGAACATAAATTTAGGGTCCTAGTACTAGTTTCCGAAAAGAATTGCTGATTTTTTTAGTACCCAATCGGGAGCCGATTGATTGTGAGTCTTTTCGAGGGGAGACAAGAGAAGAGTTGAGCGATCGCTTACAAGTGATCCGCATGGGGTTTGATTTCGACTCCCTTCGGTCTCCTGTTTGATTGGTCGAGGAGCGGAGGGGATGGCTGGGAGTGGAGGAAGCGCTTTGGTAGGCGCGTTGAGGCCATTCTTCGCCAAGATCTCCTCGAGTTCCTAAAATTGAGTGCATAGAATGCGTATCTTTTATCTATCTTTATTTACTCGCTTAGTAGAATGGTTCAACGAGTATCTACACTACACACGACAATGAAATCTCATGTTTTAGAAAAAGATCGTCACTTTCGCGCGTCTGTAACTCCCTTATCTTTACCGTATTTCTAAATATTAATATTATCATGGTGTAGCCCTTGAAAAGAGCTTTCAGAAAATGTGTAACACTAATAGTTTAAACTGAAAGACAAGGGAGTTACAGACGCGCGAAAGTGACGATCATTTTTCAAATATGATATTTCATTGTCCAGTACTGTAGCTGAAGAATCATTGAATTGAATGGTGAAGCCAATCCAAGCCAAGCCAAGCCAAGCCCAGCCATTTCCCTCACTCACTCTGACTCGATCGGCGTATTGTTTCGCAGCGTTTTCCAATTTGTTTTGTTGTTGCTGTTGTTTAATCATGCTCTGAAAGCTCTTCTTTGCATAGAAGTTTTTTTCTTTTCACTTACATCTCGATCCTTTTGCAATTGTCGAATGTAGTCACAAGATGCTTTGAGAATCGTCCCTTGGTTTAACTTCATCTCTCTAAATTCGGCTCTAAAGAGAAAATGCCTGATAACGGGAAGTAAATATTTAGTGGCATTTTCTTGAAATTAGATTTCAACTCACTCGGAGGCTCCTTTAGGCAGCATAACTCCTAATTCTTTGATTCGGTCGTTGATATTATAGCGACGACGGCGTTCAACTGAAAAAACTTCTGATTTCATTGATAATTATGAATGAAATGAACTCACTCATATTGTGAATGTCCTTCTTTCTGCGATCGCCGTAGTGTTCCGGATCATCGGCACTGGGAACGGGTCCTTGCGACGAGCCACGTACCTGCAAACAATAATAATCATTTAGACCCATCAGATACCTATATATCAGAGACCTATTATATCCACAGCTTAGTATTATATCATAAAGTTTACCAATTGATCCATATCCGATGAGGAGGGAGCTGACGAGGAGACGACGTGGCGGAATTGCATCGCGCCCGGGATTCCCATTCCGACGGGTGAGCCTGAGTGGCCTGAACCACCTAAATGGTTTTTTTTAAGTTCTTACAGTTTCAACTCAAATTCATAATCCCTTTTGCTCTTGGCATTAGACAAGTTTTTAGCTGAATATCTTTTAAAATTGCGTGCGAAAAATCAAGACAGAAAAAGGAGTCATCTAGTTGTCTTCTAGTTGTCTTCTAGCTGTCTTCAAGTTGTCTTCTAGCTGTCTTCTAGCTGTCTTCTAGCTTAAACCTTTTTAAAAAATTAAGATATTCAGTTGTAGTCTTGAAAATTTTATTTTATTTTGTTCAAATTTTATTTTATTTTTTATTTAAACTTTGTTTCCAGTAGCCTTTTGAAAATGAGCTTTCCTACCAATCATGGATAGCCATGAGGCGTTTTTTTTTCGTTTTTCGGAAAGATGTGCCGGTTTTTGTATATAAAAAAGTGAAATTTGAGATCTCCTGATAATGAAAAGAGAAAAGAAAAGAGAGCTTTTATGAGATAAAAAAGAGAAAATGATTCGATCGATCCGTTCTCTTTTGATGGATTCGATTCGATCAGCTGATTGACTCAACTTCTTGAAAAGGGAAGGCGATCATTCAACAATGAAATTATTTCAAGAAAATCAACGTTTTCTAGATTCTTAGACTAGTTAAAGTTAAAAAGATTTAAAAATTTGATTAGCTAAGCCAAGCCAGCCAGCCAAGCCAGCCAGCCAAGCCAGCCAGCCAAGCCAGCCAGCCAGACCACCTCCTGCCTTGGTTTCATTGTCTTTCGTTTGTCTTTCGTCTTTCATTGTCAAAAGTTATTTGTTTATGATAATGAGTAAATAGATAGCAATAATAAGCAATTCCTAATCCATTACTAACCTTCTTTACTCCAGTCTAACATCGGCTTGAAAAATTTGAAGTTTGAAAATCATCCAATACTAGGGGGAAAAGAAACGAAGAACAAAAGGTTCTAAGGTAATGAAATGGCAAAGAAGGGTGATTGTGACGAGAAACGAGCGGGATATCTGACCATCACATGACTTTCTCTTATAAACAGGTTTCCCCAACAAATAAATAAGGGCAGAGAAGGGGCAATACACCACACAAAGTTCATCCCCGAGAGAGGAGACAGACACTCCCGGTCGGAATTGGATCATAGAATCATTCTACTCGATTCAAACCTGGATTTATGCAAAAGTACAAAAGGATTGCTAATTGTATGAAGTGTCTGGCTGGCAGCTAAACCAATGCTTTCTCTAGACATTTCAGATCATGAAAACAGCGCCGGTTTGAGCGAACTTTCCCCTCTTTTTGGGTCCCTTGACCTTTTTCCGACACGTCATTGTTTTGTCTCGTTTACCTGTTTACCTCTTCCCCAATTGCCCTACTTGATTCGTAAAAACAAATCAATCTTGAACACCTCACCTGAAGAGTTGTTTCCGGGAATCGGTCTTCCTTGCGAGGAGAGATTCGTCAAATTGTCTGCACAAGAGTACGGGGCGGTCAGCTGGAAATTGAGAGGATAAAATATGTAAATATTCAGCCATAGTCGTTGAATCAGTTAGCTGTGTTGGCTAGAAAAGCGAGTGGTTTTCGTGGAACGCAAAGGAAAACTAAAAACGCGATCTGATGGATACAATACCGTTAAATTACTGTAGCATCTAAGAACTGGAGTTCAGTCACCGTACTGTAAGATTAACGATAGTACTTGGGGTTACTCTAGCTACTAAATAGCATCAATCGCTCAGTATCAAAGCTTACATTCGTCTAACTTTTCTCGCCTCCGAGAGTCAGATCTGAAATCATTGTAACTAGAGCTTAACTATAGTACAGTGTAAGATTACTGTAGATTACTTTAGCTCTAGCTTAGCATAACGAAGCTTATTAGTAGCCTACATCTCAGGACAACTTAAGACACTTTATCAACATCTCAGCTACAGTAAGATAAGTAAGAAGACAGAATCTTGGAACTAAATCCCCATTCATCTATTTTACCCAAATAAAATCTAGCCTCATTTCATGATAATTTTGCTTACAGTTCATCTCCCGTATTACTACTCTATCTGTTCAGCTACAGCAATAGTACTTGACGTTAAAGTACAGTCTACAGTTCGGCTACAGCTATATGTACTACTCTACCTAAAAATGCGTCTTTTGTATCAAAAAACAGCTGAAATTCAGGGCTACTTTTTGATATCGAAATCCAATGGAAAACTATAATTAGAAATCGAAACTATATTTAGATATGGTCTATCTCACAAAATATGGTGGTCTATCTCTCAAAATATATCTATAATCAGGACAATTCTGTGTTTGATCTTAGTATGTGTAATAACCACTCCTCGCCAACCTCTTTTCAACACAACTTTTCACAAAACAACATGAGCTTTTAGATTGAAGAAAGAGAATATCTGCCTACCGGTGTTTGGTGTGGTTTGCTGCCCCGAGTGCGCTGCTCGTCCTCCAACGAGAGGATCTCATCAATCAGATATTCATCCAGTAACTAAATGACCCGGCTTTATGAAAATATTGAAATCATATGAGAGGCTTTTCTGTTATATTTTGCAAGATTCTAAACTAATTCTAACTAAACAAGAGTCTAGATAAACTAGAGATTGGAGAAAGAAAATGGAGAAAGAATTGGAAAGTACGCGTGATAGAGAATAGGAGAGCCCGCGAAAAACAGCTGCCTTCTCTTTCGATGAGAGATCCACACAAACTAGACGTAAACAAGGCGATTTGGTAAAAGTTTGGATTTCATTTATGGAGATACACATAAGCTTTTCGCAAGGAGACTTGTTTTAGGAAACAATTAGGATCTTGTGTTCCCTATATTGTTTTCTAAATGATGCGCTTTGGCATAAGTTATCGTACTGGGATTTATTTGCAAATAAAATCAATTCAAATCACCACAAAGCTCAGGTCAATAAATAGCTAATTGAAGGCTTAAAGAAAAGGATGGGTTCATTTTAAAAAAAAAACATTTACAGGGATATAACAGAAAAATGAGATCAAAGGTATCAAAGCAGGGCTGGTTCTAGGACCAAACTTTCGACAATGGCTTATAGGCTTTCGACAATGGCTTTAGGATCAGCCCTGAATCTAAGAAAACCTACTTCAAATAGCATTTTCTATAAAGGAAAACAATTCAATCTGTTGAGGTAGTTGTTTGAGTCTGAGCTTAGAGCTGGGGTGGTTGGGTGAAAAGGGGGAGGGGCAGGGGGAAGTTTTGAGAGGAAGAGAGATCTTCGACGCTGCGGCCAGCTGACGAAAAGGGAGCAAAAGACTTGGCTTGACATTGGGGTCAGAGGGCAGACGAGAAAAGAAAATGGAGAAAGAATTGGATACGCGTGATAGAGAATAGGAGAGCCCGCGAAAAACAGCTGCCTTCTCTTTCGATGAGAGATCCACACAAACTAGACGTAAACAAGGCGATTTTTGGGGAAGAATAGATCGTGCTATTATTTTATGTATCAACAAAACACATTGACTAATCAAAACTCAATCAAAACTCAAAACTCAAAGATAATGTCTCTTTTTGATCAATTATTTGGTAAAAGTTTGGATTTCATTAAGGGGGTACACATAAATAAAAGGGTAAAGTTTGTGAAACAGCTGATCGCTTTGTAAAACAGCTTTTCTCTTTAAAGCTGAAACAGCTTTTCTCTTTCTCTGCGAAACAGCTTTTTTCTTCAAATTTCTCTCTAACATACTTCCAATGAACCCAACAACTCAGAAAGAAAAAATCTTAAACCAAAATTTATGGCAAAATCTTTGATCCAATCGACTTTGTTTTCATGCTCTTCTCGTGCTTATCTGAGCAATCAAATTACATAAAAAAGAAGAGGAAAAACAAGAATTGTGTTTAAGGGGAAAAGAAAATCGGATCGATAATTAAAAAATTGTTTTTTTAAAAGAAGATGTTGAGGAATTGTGTTGTAAATTAATTTCTTACTTCACTTTGGTTGAAACTTCGAGGCGAGTCGCCGTATCGTTGCATTTCGGGTGACTCCATCGATGGGGATTCACGCTGATTCTGGAAAGTCGACATTTGTTTTGAATTTATTTGAATAATTGCTATTGTTTTAAATCACGAATCTTAGATTTGAACAGCACTTTTCTCAATAAGTTTTGAGTGTTTTTAAGGATTAGATTCAAGCAGGATTGCTTTTCCAGGTTCTGCCCTGGTTCGCCCTGGTTTGAATCGTTTGGTGGGAGTGGAGAGGAGTCTCCTCCGTCCGCCGATCACTCCCCCACCGTCCCTGCCAATCCCCGGTACAGAATTGCTGAGATTCTTAACTATTACTTATAATCTTGTCATAAACATAAACACAAATGTTTGTCCGGATTGAGAAGAAACCGATTTTTAAGATAATCGGACCAATTCCAATGAATGTAATAGTATAATGACCATTGTTGGCCGTTTCCCATTGACAATCTTTCTGAAAAGCACGGTTCTTGGCGGGGTTGATGATAGGGAATTCGGGATTCATGTGGATGATGTTGAGGTAGGCGATGAAGAAATGGATGTGGAGGTGCGCTTGATTGGTCTTCGCTCGAAATGGAGAGTCATCAGTGGGTGAGTATCGTTTGGTGGGAGTGGAGAGGAGTCTCCTCCGTCCGCCGATCACTCCCCCACCGTCCCTGCCAATCCCCGATCGACTCCTTGTGGCCATCATCGACAGAATCACTGACAGAATCACTGCTGATCAGTTTTAATGTATTAGTAGTTGAGTGAAGCTAAACTAGTCAAAAAAAGTATTTTTTAGTCTTTTGTAAATGAGATAAAGCTTATGCTTAAAATTTGATTTCCATAAAGAGATTTCCATAAAGATTTCCATTGACTCATGACTTCATTTCTCTTTCAATCTATCTAATCTCTTATGATTGACTAACTGACCAAAATGATTTATACAATACCCAATGGCATCAATTTTCCTAGATTTACAATCTAAAACTTCGGTTCTTTCTTTTACTCTAAATGTTTCTTTTTGTTTTGTTTGAAATAGAATCGATTTCCATGAGGGAAAAGAAAAATAAAGTTATTGATCAGTTCAGATCAGTTATTGATCATCAGATTAAGCCAAAGATTACCAAAGAAGGGAAAAATAAAATCGGATAAAGAGAATAAATATAAAGAAAATGATGACATCAGATTTGGAAAAAAATTTTTCTTTCAAAACTTTCCCTCGGAAATGTTTTCCTTTCTCATTCTCTTTTAATTCATTCACTGTTTCCCCCTCCCTTCCCTTTCCCTCGCTTCCCCTTCCCCCTTCCTTCCCCATCCTTCCCCGTCCTTCCCCTTCCTTCCCCTTCCTTCCACCGATTGCCCATCCCGATAAGCAGCCTTTCCATCCAATAGAAACTATTTTAAGAATTTATCTTTCGAGGAAATTTTTGACGAAAGTCAACCATCAACCAAATATGACTAGAATGTCTAATGAAAAGCTAACAGCAGTCGAGAATTCGAGAATTCGGTTCATTTTTTTGAAATGGAGTCAGATGAGCTTAGACAGAAAAATCTGGAATTAGAATTCAAAATGGAGGCCTGTTGCGTTTAGTTTTGAAGAAAAAAACTAAAAACTGAAAGAAAGAGGGGTGTATGAGTGGGCCTTGGGGTAAAAAAAAAGGCTGAGAGGTGGTCCGGGGATCGATCGAGGGGAGAGGCTGCGACGCTCCTATCTGAATGTCCTCCCAGCTCCTTTTGCATTCATTCTCCGGTCTCATTTCCCCCTTCATTTAAGTTTTCTATTTATCTGAGATCTGCGGCTAGAGATGGGCAAAAAGGGGGTCAATATATAGGTCAATATATGTAATGGTTGATGTTGGGGGTGAATGAGTGGTGGTGGAAGAGTGGGTAATGGTTGAGTACCACCGAGGAAACCCACTGGATTCCACATGGATGTTGGTGGAACAAATGCTGGTGGTTGTGTCGTGCCGAGCATCACTTTCGATTTCTGCTCGATCCAAGTCGGCTCGGATTGTGCTCGCGGATGGATTGGGTGCTCCGTTTTTGGAGGAATACGATGAAGGTAGTCAATCGATCGATGAATTGATCAAAGTATGGGGAAATACGACAAAGAAAACGGGTGAAGCCTTGAGATAAAGTGATCCGAGTGGACGTGCGGAGAATGTGTGGAAATGAGACGACGAAAAGGGGCAATGTCTGGGGGTGAAGGGGAGCCCTTTCGCCGTCTGCTCTCTCTCGTTAGCCACCAATTACGAACTCCTTGCTTGATATCTCTACCACGTACAGCCGTTCTCGCATCCCTCTGTGTGCTGCATCTTTCTCTCAAGCTATGGAATTTCTCAATTTCTTTACTCATTTTTCTCTCAAATTCCCGCAAAGTCTCTCCTCGACGAGACTTGGCTCCTCTTTTAGGCGGGACTTGGCTCTTATTTTAGGCGAGAAAACCTCTCGGCGAAATGCCAAAATCGGATGACAAATATCGTTCTTTTCGAGCATTTCCTCCATCTCTGAGTCTCTCTATATTCTTTAATCTTTTTCAGTATTAATATTTTCTCGTTGTTTTTGTGTCCTTGGAGACTAACGGGGTCGATCCAATCAATCCAATCTTTTCTCCAGTTTTTCGCCTTTTTCTTGTTTCACTCTAAAAACGTCTGCCTGAGCCGTTTGTTTACCATTTTTGGCCAGTGGGTAAAAATTAAAAGTGAAAAGTAAAGAACTTTGTCCCCAAGAGGTGATCTAAATTTGGGATGACTGTCATTGAAGGTACAAGCTTCATCTGATCGTTCTCTTGAGGAAATGTTGAAGAAAATTGATTAATGGTTTCCACCGCATCACGATGTTTTCCCAAATGTTTTGTGGCGCCAGAGCTCTTGGTTTTCCTTTGATTTTTGATCGAAAGGTGGTGAAGAAATTTGGGGATAAATATGCGCTGAAAATAGGTTTTACTATGAAACGCAAATCTGACAAGGGGATTCAAACTGGGCGTTTTGGGATAAGCTCTGTGCAAGCACCAATCAGATATAGACATTCCAAATATCTATCCACTTTTTGCTCAAATTAAAATCCTGGCGAGAAAATTGCATTTGAAGTTTCGAAAAAAGTTGTTCGATTTTCGAAAACAAGCCAAGCAGCTCTTGTTTGCCAACAAACCCTAGCCAATAAGAGCGGCGGTAGCCTAAAGGTAGTGTGCTGGGCTACAGAACTCATGCGACCTTTTGCGTTGGGTTCGAGTCCTCCCAACGATCAGTTATTCTTGAAAAACAGACATGCTACTTCTTCTATATTTTTCCCTTCATTGTCTTCATTTATCTGCACTTCGAGCTTTATCCTGAAACGTCAACCTCAATTTTGAATCATTTTTGAGCTCCAAAAAAGAGCTCCAAAAATTTGGTATAGGAGAAATGATATGTTTACGCTTTTCGAGTACCAAATAGAATGATAATAGATTAATTTCGACAAACAAAGTTCATTTTGAAGATTCGTGCTCTCAGAGATCTCACAGAGGTCTGTGAGTTCTCTCGAATCAATCCCTTGGTCTGTTTCCCATTGCTACTCTTCCTTTTTCTCACACTTGTTTAGAATTCGCGTATCGAAAGGCAAGGGAACTTTATTCGAAAAAATCGAGTCCACCAGAAGGACGAGTGTTTACGCTTTCCGAGTAAAGTAACCGGTCGGCTGTCTGTCTGTCTGTCTGCCTGAGTACAGTACTCCGTCACCGTCTACTGTCTTTTTTATTCTCGACTCTTCATTTCTTCTAATTCATCCATTGATCGAATCGAAGACAAACAATTCCCCAATCTAATCCCCGATTTTTCTCCAATTTTCGGGTTTCTCATTCAGTTTTTCCCCTCGAAAATTTGAGGATCCATTTGCAAATCGCCAAGTAAACAGAACTGAAACAAAAAAAGAAACCCGGAATATGAAATAAATCCCACTACCGTTTTGAGGACACCTTTTTTGTTGGTCTATTCATTGATAGAGATTCTATTATTTGGTATTAGATGCATCCTATTGTGAAATCATCGAAAACTACAAGGGAGAAAAATATTGGCCTCATTTTTTGAAGTCTTTTCATGCGAAAAAATCGAGTCCACCAGAAGGACGAGTGTTTACACTTTCCCAGTAGAGTACTCGGTCGGCTGTCTGTCTGTCTGAGTACAGTACTCCGTCACCGTATTCATTGATAGAGGTTCAATTATTTGGCATTAGATGCATCCTATTGTGCAATCATCGAAAACTACCGGAAAAAAATATTGACCTCATTTTTTGAAGTCTTTTTTCCCAATTTTTGGCAATCAAAGTTCAAAAATTTCAATTTAATTTTCCATTCTTTGTCGCGTACTTTGAGTGTAAAGATGGTGCAAACACAAGCCTTCTAGTGTATTCGGCTTTTCACTTTTTAATGCTCTAAAGTCACCCTGTTTGTACAAAGCCATATTCCGCCAAAGACAAGGTTAAAAAGCAATTTGTCGAGATTTTTTGTAAGTAGAGTCAATAGCTACCGTATTTTTTAGGTCTTTTGTAGGTCTTTTTAGGCCAGATAATCGTTGACTTTTTGGCTTTTTCGTTTTTAAGACCGTTCAGATCTCCGCTTCTAGAACAGCAACTTTTCTAGAAAATTGTTTCATTGGAAAGTCAAGAATATCAGCTTTTGATTGCTATTTTACATAGCAATATGTAATGACTAAGCACCTTAAAACCTTTATTGATACTTATCGATATTCTTGGCTTTCCAATGTTAGCTATCGAATATCGATAAGCTTTCGATATTCGATAGCTAACTAAATCGTAACTCCGATCAATAATTAAGTAACTTTTTAAGGCACTCACCCACGAGGGTTTGCGATGAGATAACATTCAAAAGCTGACATTCTTGGCTTTCCAACGAACCATTTTTCAGGTTGTGGTACCTGTGGAGTATTCGGGGGTTCAATATATCATTGAAAAATATCAATACATTTCTCACAATGTTCCAAAGTTCCAGAGCTTCGTATCCGTTTGCTTCAACCGTTTGAGCTTTCAAGCATTTAGACCGGCTTACGAGTATTCCATGCGAATTCTGGTAGAGAGTACAGTGATTTGCTGTTAGATTTGTGTAACTGTGTATTCGGTAATCTTTGCCCAGAAATTGAAATTGAGTTTGCAGTTTGAAATCAGTGCCAAACGCGTTAGATGCAGAATCTTTCTATAGCTCTTCTTTCTATAGCTGTAAATTCGCCTTCAGCTTCATTTTGTGCTCGTAAACGCACTACTTCTCGTGCACTAGTTTTCTTGCGAAAACGAGCAGTTTATAACCAAGGGGAAATTCCAATAAATGGCTTTCACGAGATCGCTTAGGAAAAGTTGATTAGGAAAGTTTATGTAATGATAGAGTTGAGTAGAATCGATGTTTAAAATTAGAAAAGATAATAAGGATCATTTGATTAATAAAAAGTAAAGGAGTTGCCCGGAAAAAGTAGATTTAAGGTAAGTTTATATAGATTTAATTGCAAATTTATATAGATTTAATTGCAATGAAGATCACGTACAAAGTAGAGAAATTGTTCAGAAATTGGTAAACCCAACTTTCCCAGTTTTCTGGCAAATTTAGAGAAATTGTATGACAGAATAACTGACTGAAATGTTTAGTTTAGTATAATAAGCTTTAAATCAAAAGGTTAAACACAAGTTGCTTTGAATCCCATCAACAATTTCTATAATAGCTTCTTGAATTATAGGTAAATTTGATAAATATTTCTACCCTCTCTTGCAAAACACGTTCATTTTGCAGTCTTTCCTCTTAGTTCAAGACTATTTTCCCACTCACTCCTAATCGCTTTCCGATTTTCACAAAAAAGTTTATAAAAAAGAGTCGACAAATTGAGTCCAAGTCATTTTCCCTAGCTGATCGTTTTCTTGTTCAGTTTTCTTCACTGAAATCTTATAGAAAAAGCTGTTGGCTTTGAAGTTTTTGAAGAACGTTTTTGGCAAAGAGAAGACAAGTTTCATTCATAATAGATTTCTTTGGAGTATTTATACAAGCATATTTGGAATACTAAAGCAAGCAGTGCTTTCAGGAAAAAAAAATACATTTTGATGTCATTCTATTTTTACATTGAATTGGCTATTTACTGATTCTATTATCGATATTAGAATAACTCTTGAAAGTTTCAAAAAAGTGATGACACAAAAGACAAAAAGATGTAATCAAAGATTCTAAAAAACCGAAGCCAAGCACTTTGGTTGGTTATCAAACACAGAAACCATGGTGAAAAATAGAAAAATTATTAATTTTAAAATAGAATTTTTTGATTTTTTGAAATTTGATTTTTTATTTACTTCATAAACCCCGCATAAAAGCCTCACTGCTCGTCATCGCAGTCTTAAAGCGAAAAGTAAAATCTATTAGCATTTATACTCCTTTTTGGTCCCTAGCTCTCGCTCTTGCCAATTCCAAGCGTTCTAATTAAATCTCGCGCCCTAGGGCAATAGCCGTCAATGCCAATGGCTTCATGGTAATAAAAAGGCATCCTCAGACAAGAACGTGTTATTTGTTCGAAAACCATCAACAATGCGCCAACAACAAAGTTCGGGGATGCCTTAAAATTACTTTACTGAAAAGTCATGTATTAAAGGTAGTGATTATTCCAAAGGTAGTGATTATTCATAATAATTGAAAGATATAAACAAAAAAGCATGAAAACTGAAATGAAGGAGACCGGAGAATGAATGCAAAAGGAGCTGGGAAGACATTCAGATAGGAGCGTCGCAGCCTCTCCCCTCGATCGATCCCCGGACCACAATGAATATTTTGTAGAGATAAAGAGATTAAGAGACAAAACTTTAATTGATTCAACCCTGCACAAACCATTAAATTAACAATATCTCTTAAAATCCGCATCAAGAATTACTTATTTCATGAGCTTTCCCTTTCAGATTGATTCTGAAAATCTTTCCCTTGTTAATTCTATATCTAATTAATTTCATGATCTTAATAATTAGATAAAGAATTGATCATTTTATCTAGATACTCTAGATAATAGATAAAATAGACTTTCAAATCAATTTTAAATCAATT